CTCGGCGGTCCCTTCCTGGCCCTCCCTTGAACCGGACCGTGCCTGGCCTCCACCCCAGCAGGGGGCGACGGTGGCCCGGATGCAGGGGCAGGCGGAGACAGCCGCGCTGCGCCCCCGGGCCCCTGTTCTCGGCCTCCTGGGAGACCCCCACCCGTGCCAGCCAGATTATTACAAAAGGCAGCTTGGGATATCCGAAAGGAAAGAAGAAGAACAGAATGGGTAAAAATAGGGTTCAATAGAATTTTATTCTCACGAACTTCTTAAATCATTCTTGAGTGAAGTAAAATTTTTATCATCATATGAGATGGTGCTTAGTGAACATAGAGGAAACATCTAGGGCAATGATATTTAAAAGACGTGGGGGCAAAGGGACCTGAGTAAAAATGAGGTGATGGAAACCTTGATGCCCGCATACTGTGCTAAGTGACATGTGCTGCTGTGGCTTGAATGTGTCCCCCAGATTTCCTGCTTTGGTAACTTGATCCCCAGATTCATATGTTGATGGGATTTGGAGGTGGGCCTTTGGGCGGTAATGAGGATGAGATGAGGTCATCAGCGTTGGACTGCCATGGTGGAATCGGTGGCCTTGTAAGAAAAGGAAGACAGATCTGAGCTGACACACTCTTGCCCTCTCACCATGTGATGCACTGAGCCATGTTATAAAACAGCAAGAAGGCTCTCACCAGATGCCAACATCATGCCCTTGGACTTCTCGGTCTCCCACACCCTGAGCCAAATTAACTTCTGTTCTGTATCAATTATCCAGTCTGTGGTATTCTGCTATAGCAACAAAAGGTGGAGAAGTCACTGAGAAAGCTACACATAGCAATATACTCAAAAGCAATGTAAGTAAATCAAGATGAACTCCTAAAATTTTCAGGTAATTCACGGAGGACAAGAGAAGAGAAACAGGAGAATGGAAAACAAGAAATGTGAATACTTATAACCCCAATTGGAAACAATGCAAATGTCCTTCAGTGGGTTGAATGGTGAAACAAACTGTGGTATATTCATACCAGGGCATGTTATTCATTAATCAAAAGGAACAAATTATTTTTATAGGCAATCACTTGGATGGTCTCAAGGAAATTATGCTGAATGAAAAATGCCTATCTCGAAAGGTTACATAGTATATAATTCCAATTATATGGATCTTAAAATAACAAAATTACAGAACTAGGGAACAGCTGGTTGGCTGCTAGGGGTTAAGGAGGGGGAGTGGTATCAGATGGGAAGGGAAAAAGAGGGTAGGGAGGGGATAAAAGGGAGGTGAGTGTGGTTATCAAACGGCAAGAAAAAGTATTGTTGTGGAACTCTTCTGAGTATTGACTGTGATGGTGGATACCCAATAAAATTGCATTGAACTAAATATTTGCACAATTAAGTGCATGTAAAACTAATGAAAACTGAATAACGGATTATTTAATGTCAGTTTGCTGGTTCTAATATTACCCTACCCTATAATTACACAAGATATTACCATTTGGGGAACTTGGCAAAGAGTATACAAGATCTCTCTGTATTCTTTCTTATAATTGCATATGTGTCTACAATTTTCTCAAAACAAATAATTTAAATAACAGGCCACTGCAGGACATCCTTATAGGCCCAATGCCAATATAATTTTTTCTTCTCTTGAGAAAAGGATGGGAATAAATTGTGGTTATAATATTTTCCAGTAAATCTCACCAGGGTTTCTACGCATGTTTTTTCCAGAAAGTTTTCACTTTATTACCACAAATGGAGCACACAATGCCTTCAAGGGTTCCTATGTAGGCTCATTCTTCATAAATTATTCCGGGTTACTTTTTAAATGTATTGCTAAAAATCAAAAAAGAGGCTGTTCGTCGGCTGTGCCTCAAGGTGGTTAAGTATAACTCCCCTCTTTTAAGATTCTGCTTGGTAAAAAAAAAAAGTCTTATTCTCTTCCTAAAAATTACGGAGCTTGATTGGCTCAGTCAGATGGAAAAATAAATCTTCATGTCTCAATTAGACTGAGGAAACATCAAAGGGGTGGTGGACACTAACATGACAGTGTTTAATATTGTGTATCATAATTTTGAGTGGAAATTAAGGGGCAGTGGAAGCCACTTTGGTTTTTAAGTGTCTTGGTGTTTAGAATTTCTTGTAGTGCTTATTTTAAATAATGAAAACAAGTTACAGCCCAAAGTAGAGACTTTACCATAATACACAATATGATGGGTCAATCCTAGGGATCAGAATATTCTTCTATCTACAGACAATGAACCACAGTTGTTCTGCTAGGCCAATGTAATGTACTTATATATAATGTCATACAAAGGTCATCTGGGTGGTGGAAAAGAGCATTTTGCTCTGAAGATTAAAGTCTTTATGTTCATGTTTGGTGTCTAAAATAAATTATAGAACTGTGACCTGAGGTTGAGATTATGGAGGGAAGATGATTGTATATAAACTATTATTTATACAGTGCATGGATGTGTGCAAACGAATTGACATGTGCATAGATTTAACACAAGGAGACCAACATTAAATAGAATAAACCCATTTTATTTCTTTTTGGTTTTACAGTCACTTATATACAATTAAAATATAGTAAATCATCCACTATATGCTCTTCTTTTAAAGCATCACAAAACTTATACCAAAACTCTCATATAACTGTTTAAAACGTAGTTTAAAACGTAGTTTAGGTTTACTAGAAGGTACTATTTCAACAGCCCTATGTCTAAGTCATGTAACCATCAATTTATGCTAATTGGATAGAATATATCTTATCTTCAGGATACTATAAGCAGTTTTTCTAGACTTAATACACTTTTTATAATCTTAATAAACTTTTAAAAATCTTGACACTGAGGAGAAATATACTGAGAATATAATATTTGCTTTGACTTTACAGAGTAAAAATTGTTCTTCAGTCACATACAAATTCCTTGTATTGTTCTCAGTCAATCCTCAAACTACCTGAGACATAAGCATTATTACTAAATTGCAAAAAGAAATTGAGATTCAGATGTACTAAATAATTTGTGGGCAGTCATGATTACAGGTGAGTAGGTTTGATTGCAACTCTGTTAGACTCCAAAATGCCTGTTTTTGCCACTTCATCATATATGTATTTCTGATGAGAAACAGGAGAATAAAAAATACAACTTGCATTCATAAAACTCCTATGGCAGTATTTTGAGTGGCTCGCATAGATTTTGTTTTTAGACTTTATTGAATTTTTCCCAAAAAGTTTCACTCAGTTGTTCGAAGGCTAAGACAACATTGTCATCTTCATTTTCACACAGTTCACGCAAGGAAACACTGCAAATGGGAAAAAATACATTTATACATCATCCATTTTAGTGAGATTGATATTGTAAGAAAGACTTTCCCTAGGTAGGAAAAAGTCAGTAAGTCCCATGAGATGATGAAATGATGTTAGCAAAATATGACTAATAATAATACAAAACATATTTACTCTAAAACATCCTGTGAAAAATAAAAATTAAGAACAAATAATAAGACAACTTCCATGTAGTTCTTCTCCCGGTCTGTCCCCAAGAGGGAGTTCAAGGTCAGTAAATTCCATGTCGCTTGATCCCTCCTCACTTCCACAACAAGCACAAATTCCTTTGCTTTTCTCCTTACATCTCTTGAGGAGTCATTTTGTGTTTTTTGCCTGCTACTGTGTCCCGTGTATGCTCAAATCCACAGACAGCTACCTCACGAAGGGGAAAATTTCTTTCTTTACCAAGATGTGTAAGAAAATAAGTAAAACAGGACGTGGTGAGCAGAATAATGGCCCTCCAAAGATGTCTGTATTCTAGTTCCCAGAAACCCATAAATATGCTAAGTTACTATGGCAAAGGGGAATGAATTAGGGTTGCAGATAGAGTTAAAGTTGCTGATCAGCTGGCCTCGAGAAGGGTAAATAATCCTGGATTATCTGGGTGGGCTCAGTGGTCACTTATAAAGGTCACTTACAAGGACCTTTATAACCACAAAGGTCCTTATACGTGGAAGAGAGAGACAGGAGAGAGTGTCAGAGTGACACTGTGAGATGCTACCATCCTCTGCTGCCTTTGAAGATGGAAGGAAGCCAGGAGGGAATGCCAGCAACTTCTGAAAGTTAGAAGAGGCAATGAAACAGATGGTCCCTTAGAATCTCCAGAAAGGACTGTAGCTCTGTTGACAAATGGATTTAACCCAGTAAGACATTTTGACTTTTTTTTTCTTAGTTGGGATCTCACTCTGTCACCCAGCCTGGAGCACAGTGGTGCGATCACACCTCACTGCAGCCTCAACCTCCTGGGTTCAGGCAATCCTCCTGCCTCGGCCACCGAGCGGCTGGGAAAACAGGTATGTGCCACCACACCCATTTTAAAAAAATTAAAATAATTTTTTTTTTGGTAGAGACAGGATCTTGCTATGTTGCCCAGGTTGGTCTCGAACTTCTGGGCTCAAGCAGTCCTCCTTCCTCAGCCTCCCTATGTGCTGGTAATATAGGCATGAGCCAGCAAGCCTGGCCCAATTTTGACTTCTTACCTCCCAAACTGTAAGTAATACATTTGTGTTGCTTTAAGCCACTAAATTTGTGGTAATTTGTTAGAGCAGCATTAAGAAACTAATGTACAGGTAACAAGAAGGGAGAAAGAAATCCAAGAATGGAGAGTGCAGCCAGGCTGATCAAGTACTGAATACAATCAGAATCTGGCATGTCATCAGCCTTTTATGATCTGTATCTACCTTGATTCTGCTAGGGTTCTAGTTTTTTCCTAGTGTCTTCACTGACCTACCACAAAAATCGATCCAGTCTGTCTCTCCAACACAGAATTTCATTCTGAGTCACAGACCTATAATCTCCCTGGGCGAGAGCCCCCTGATATCACGTGATGTGTATGAAGTCCAACTCACTATTCATTGTCTCATCTCCAAATGTCCTCCTCGCCCTATGTTTCCTAGTTGAAATAGCAATCTGGGCCATCTTCACCAGCTGCATAGCATTTATTGCCAATTCCTTGAATTCTACCTCACATATTTCACCAACCACTCTTCTGCGTCATACTGCTATTTCCTTGATTCACACCTTCACTCATTCTCACCTGTATAACGGTGATAGCCTTTGAGCCTGCACATTTCTGTTGCGTGTGAGAAACCATAGATTCATGCCACACTTGTGCATATGCATTGTCTACACATTGCTCAAAGTATTAAGCCCTAACTCCTTAATGTGACAATAAAGAGCCTTCCTGGTATAGATCCAAGTGTCATTTAAAGTCACTCATAACACCTCAAAGTCTTCCCCCATTTCAATCATAACCTTCATCTTCTCTGTGTCACCATCCTGAGCTTGATGACTGTTTCTGACACATCGGGCCCTTTCTCGTTTCTGTGCTTTGAAAACACGGTTTTCTCTTCCCTAACAAACATTAAATGTCTACAATTACTTCATTTGCCTTTCTCGTTTCTGTACTTTGAAAACACGATTTTCTCTTCCCTAACAAACATTAAATGTCTACAATTACTTCATTTGAGACTCCTTCTCTGAATCCAAGCAGAGTTAGTCATTTCTTTATCCACCATCATAAAATTCACTATGTTTGTAAGGTCTACTGATTGGTTTCTTTCACTACACAGCCAGATTCTTATGAAGCAGGGACAGTTTTAATGATTACTTATTTCAAATACTTAGAATTGTGTTTAAAATTAATAATAATTCAATACTTATTTTACGGATACATGAATGAATGATTTTTCTCAGTTTGGTCTTTGAGGCAACCCCCAAATTCTCTGGAGTTTCTTGGGCTGCTCTGGAAATTATAACTTGGGTAACTATGAAGTACTTAAGAAATGCTCTATCTAGAGATACTCCAGCAGGACAAAGCAGTTGCCTTCAGCTGTAGCATCCTTGAAGTTTCACTTGCCGTATAAAAAGTCCAAGCGAGCCGGGCTCGGTGGCTCAGCCTGTAATCCCATGCCTTTGGGAGGCTGAGGTGAGTGGATTGCCTGAGCCTGTGGGTTTGAGACCTGCCTGGGCAACTTGGCGAAACCTCATCTCTACAATGAATCAAAAATTAGCTGGGTGTGGTAGTGCATGCCTGTAGTTCCGGCTACTTAGAAGGCTGAGGCGGAAGGATCGCCAGAGCCCAGCAGGTCGAGGCTGCGGTGGCTGGGAGCGGCCACTGCACTCCAGTCTGGGTGACAGAGTGAGACTCCAACTCAAAAAAATAAAAAATTATATAAAAAAAAAAAAAAGTCCAGGTAAGCCTTGGTGCACTCAGAGGAAAGAAATGAAAAGCTATGACTTGAGCAAGAACCCGACAATGTGAAGACTAGTGAAAAATTAAGCGTATATCTCTAAGTGATAGAACAAAGAAAGACCCACAAAGTATTGAAGTGCATGCAGCTTGGAGACTTTAGGAAGATGGACATTTAACTAGGCAACTTTAGATGGCCAGTGGAGCCTAAGGATGGGGTTACCCACCCAAATTCTGGCACGGCTTGGGCTCCCAGTGGGTTCTGTTAAAGATGAAAACAGGAAGCCACGATGAGAGATCAGGGATGGATGCAGCCTGGAGAAAACACTGGACAAAGCAAGAGGCTCAAGAGTATGTAACTGGATGTAAGACAGAGACCTGATGGAGCCCTAAAGAGCCCCTGAAGTACCCCGTATCTGACACGCACTGCTTATGGCAATTGAGATGACTAAGGTCTAGGGGTCAGGCAAGCTTTGGAACATTGCTGCCTGTCAGTGCATTGTGCCTGGGGCTGAAACTCTAGCCTGGATAAAACCTCGTCTCCAGTGAACTTCGGGACGGGCTCTATTATAGACATGATATGATAACAGGGTGCTGAGGAGAAGTGCTGCAGGACCCTTAGGAGTTAAAATGCGTAACATGTCAGAGGCTTAAGAGCACATTCACGTACCTGGCCCATAGCAAGTGACATCTGCAAAACGACAAATCACGAATAAACTTAAAATTAATACTTAAACATGTAGCACACCTGATAGCTTTAATGGTGAGTCCAAAATCTTTCAACAACTGATAAGCCTCTCCCTCATTCATCCTAAACAAAACAAGATTTTGAAAATTAATAATACAGAACATTAAAGAGCATCTTATTTCACACTTAAATGCCAGATTTGTCAATCATCAGTTCCTTTTGTCTGTCAGGATGTCTTTTCCAGAATCATTTCTGCAACAAACACCCAGATTGATTTAATCTATGGTAATTATGGTGGTCAATTCAAGAGGCGAAATCTCAACCACAGATAATCAATGAACACAGGAGGTTGACCATCTCTAGAGAAAGCCAAAATAGGAAAGCAAAACTCAGGAAGGCGAATGAGAACTAGAGAGTCAAAGGGCAGAACAAAATGCATTGTTTACTGATGTGTCACAGCTACTTTATACACAGGGAGTCACATTAAAACAGTCAATGCTCAACATCTCTGAAGCATGTCAGAGTGCTTACAAACCCTAATTCAATAAGGATTGGTCAAAATGTTATGCAAAAACAAATTACATTCCTGCTTTGGTGTGACAGAATGCCCCCTCCACATCTCTGTGCTCAGTATCCAGGTCAATTTCTTCATTCCCAGGTAAATCCCAGAGTGTTTACCCCTGCTAGCTGTTTTTGAAAAATAGTTTCCCTGTCAAAGAGCCAAAGCAGTTGTCACGTACTCAGATGTGTGAATTGTAGACTTACACATATTCTTCTCAGAGATTTGAGAACATTTAAAATTATTTTTTCATTTAAAACTATCTAATAATGAGTATAAGTAGATTAGTAATAAATAAAACTGTATGTCTGTGAGCATATGCAAATATTTATATCTTTAGAGTATAGTTTTATGTCAAGTGAAACTGGCCTAAGTGCCAAGATTTTGCTGGTAAACCACAAACCAAAAAGAATCCCAAATCATAGAACTCACTATGTTTGTAAGGTCTACAAATCCGTTTCTTTCACTACACAGCCAAAGTTTTATAAAGTAGGGATAGTTTTAATGATGATTTATACTTCAAATACTTGGAAGTGTGTCTAAAATCAATAATAATTCAATACTCTCTTGCCATTAACCTCTAAGAATATATGCTACTTTATTTAGCACGATGAACCTATTCTTGAAACTGTAGTGAAGAGTCTTCCTTAAAATTCATTAGAGATGGAGGGAAAGAGAGAAGGAGGGAAAGAGACAGAGAGAGGGAGAGAGAGAGAGAGAGAGAGAGAGAGAGAGAGAGAGAGAGAGAAGGAGAGAGAGTAAGAGAGAGAGACAGGGAGAGACAGGACATACCTGTTATCCTGGACTAACCCTAACAAAGAGCCATGTTTGTAGAAATCAAGTGCGTAAGCATTAAGAGGCATTTTTCTTCCTCGGTTATCAAAGCTCTCTGACAATAGCACAGGAATCCGAGTGCGATCGATAGTGATGGAGCATAGGGAGACCTAAAGAAACACAATTCTTAATGTATTATTGGTGTATAAAGAAAGTTCGTGATTTCATCTATGAGTGTTGTGGCTACTTTCTTTAGCCACTGTTTCTAAAGCCCATTCTTTGCCGCGAGGGAGGAGGGCGTCTCACACGCGCCGTGGAAGTGCCCTTCTAGGCGAGCCTAGAGATGACTCCACTCAATGTAAGAGAACCACTCCTCCAAGATACACAGAAGACACTTTCAACCTTCCAGCCACTCGACTCTAGGAAGAGTCAACTTAGAGAAAGGTTAACTTTTTAAATTCTCCTTATTGGTGCAGGGAATTTCTTTGTAAACAGAATATCAGTGAGCCGGAGGTTTGTGCAGCACAAGAAAATAACTCAACAGAACAAGTCTAACTATCTTGACATCCAACGATCAGAATAAAAAGACAAGGAGAAGCACACAGATGTTCAGTTCATGGGTGTTCTTTAGTTTGGTGCTTTATGGCTAGTCTTTATACCATATAAAGATATATATGTATGTGTATTTAGCATTGCATTAAAATGTAATAAGTAATAAAAACAAAACGATTCTTAAGAGAGTGTAACTTTAGTAAATTTGTTAAACACACATTGGAGATCACTTCTCCAGATCCTGTGATTTTAACCACATATGAGGGGAACACCAAAAAAAACCTGGAATTATCTTTTGGGAGCCAAATATTCTAGGGTCCCATTGGCATCAGTCAGTGTATCAGCTAGTATTGTTGTGAGAGGCAGTGTTTGGCTTCAGTAAAACATTTTTTTGGAGAGTTTTTCAATGTGTTGGCCCATTTCATGATGGGTGATCTATGAGCTCACCTGCTCACACCACGCTGTGTTCAGCAGTTTTTGACGCAAACTGGCATGGCCCCTATGCCCCACTCTCCCTCTTCACCCAATCTCACCCTGAGCGATGGTTTTTTTGTTTCCCTGGATGAAAAAAGACCTCAAAGGGAAACATTTTGTCAATACGGAAGAGGTGGAACAAAAAAATGGCAGAAACACTAAAAGGCATCAAAATGGACGTGTTAAAAAAACGTTTTGAGCAGTGGAAAAAGTGTCTTGATAAGGGTATTGCATCAAACTGAGAGTATCCTGAAGGTGACTGAAGTCTAAGCATGTTAGAATAAATACACATTTTTGGCCGGGCTTGGTGGCTCAGCCTGTCATCCCAGCACTTTGGGAGGCCGAGGCAAGTGGACTGCCTGAGCCTGTGGGTTTGAGACCAGCCCAGGCAACTTGGCAAGACCTTGTCTCTACAATAAATCAAAAAATTAGCTGAGCTAGGTGGTGCATGCGTGTAGTTCTGGCTACTTGGAAGGCTGAGGCAGAAGGATCGCCAGAGCCCAGCAGGTTGACACTGGGGTGGCCATGAGTATGCCACTGCCCTCCAGCCTGGACGACAGAGTGAGACTCCAACTCAAAAAAAACGAATAACTACACATTTTTAAATACATAGTTTCTGGGGTTTTTTGGGACCCCCTTGTACCTTTTCAGTAAGAATAAAAATAATAATTGAGCATTGTTCTAATAGTTATGGACATTCCCAAAATGCAAAAATTATATTAGAATAGGAGGATATAAGCAAAATATGTACAATTTTAAGTATGTTTTATTTTATATTATTAGTAGTAAACTTTGATTACCGCTGTTGTTATTATTAACCTGGATGCTTAGGTTTTAGATTATTAATAGTTAACTTAATTGGCATAGCTTCATACTACTACTAGCTAATATATCAAGATAGCACATATGTTTAGACATACGTCAAACATCATTAATAACAGAATGTAAAAATGCTGATTTTATGTAATTGGTTAATTCTTACTTTGGGGACTGACATCTCAGATTGATTAGATAGTCTTCTTTTAAAACTTGTGAGAAATTATTATTATTTGTCATCTTCAAATCGCTTGCTTGTGTTTTCATAATTAAAATTAGTTTTAATTTCAATGTATATTTTGGTAATAATTTATGCCCAATGTCCATTTTTTTTAGTTAATTCAATTAAATTAGGTACAGGTTGAGTATCCTTCATTCAAAATGCTAGAGACTAGAAGTGTTTCAGATTTCAGATTTTTCCAGATTTTGCACTATTTGCATATATATAATGAGATGTCTTGAGGGTGAGACCCAAGTCTAAACATGAAATCTATTTGTGCTTCATATACCTTTTATATACACAGGCTGAAGGTAATTTCATGCAGTATTTTCAATAATTTTGTGCATAACACAAAGCGTACGTGCACTGAGCCATCTGAAAGCAGAGGCTTCGCTCCCTCAGTCACCTGTGGCTGTCTGGCATGACCACCACTCCTGGCTCTGAATGTATATGCTACCAGTCAGCAACGCCTTCTGATGCATGTTCACACCAAAGCACTTAACAGAGAGACAGTCCATGGAGACAACGAGCTAGTCATGTGTTCAAGCAATTAAACTGCCCAGCGGCCTCCCTGGACACCCGCACCAGCGGTCAGACACCAGCAGCTACAGATGATGGCAGCTGCTTCATGCTAATCAGAGGCTTTATCACAACACATATTTAAAAATGGAACGCCACATTTTTTCTTAAATTTTAGCCTGCTGCATGTTCACGGTTCCCTTCGATTTCCTGTTCATTGTGAGAGGTCTTTGCTGGTTTCACGATCGGCATACCGTTACGTGACCTGTGGGTATTAAGAGATCCATTCTCTCAATACACAATCAAGATTTTCATTGCCAACTGCGTGCAATAGTCCTCTGTTTTTTATTAGTTTGTCTTCATCACTCTCAGCACAGAACTTCAAAAGTTTATCCTTTTGCTCCTCAAGCCCTAGGTGGTGGTCATTCTAACACCGAACTCTTCTGGAAGTTGTTTCACACCTACACCATTACTCAATTTCTCCAACAGCTTAACTTTCTGTTCTACCGATAAACATAAATGCTTCCTCTTTTTAAAAAATCACTGTCACCCATGGGGTATCTGTAGCTTTTTTTTTTTAACATTACACCACAGAGCAGATTATAAACAACAACAAAACAAAAACAAAAAGAACACCACCGTAAGTAGCACACACAGGTCTTGACTCCACGGAAGACATCGCGGAGCACCTGCATGGCACATCCAGCCTGCACTTGCACCATTTTATTAACTTTTGTGAGCATGCTTGAATATGGGGGTATGCAGAAAAGATACATCACAGTTGAAGGGGGCCGAGAGAGCTTATTTTCCCCCTAGGAATGCACAGTGTGTGTTGTGCACCTGTGTTTTGACGGCAACTCATCACAGGAGGTTCGGTGTGAAATTTTCCACTGGGGTGCTGTGTTGGCATTCAAAATGTTCAGATTTTGGATCATTTCAGATTTTTAGGTTAGCCATGCTCCACCTGTATTTGTAAATGGCCTTAGCAGACACACAAAAATCGCAACACATCTCAATCACAGAAAGTAAATCAACAAGTGACTTTGTACTATCCACACCGCCACCTTGCTCAACTGCCACTTCTTCCCCCTCAGTGTGCTCAGTGAGCGTTGGATCACAGCACAGGCATCCAAGGGTGTCTGGAGACCTCCCAGAGGGAAGCCAGGCACGGGTGACGGTAAAGAGTAATTTCCAGATCGTCAACTTCTAGATGTACACTTTCCTAAAATTGATCTAGGAAGTCACCTAAGTGGAGGAATCTTACAGTTCTCCTTTCTCACCTCTTCCTTCATGCATGCTTTTTTCTCACTTTAGAAAATAGAGCCTGCCTCCAAATTACTAGGCTACGCTGTAAAAACCAAAAAACGGCAACATCGCTTTCCTACCGAGAGACTGAATGACTTTGAAGATTAAGTTAAAAAAAAAACCAAAAACTTTCAGAAATTAAGTAGTTTCCAATGATTTGATTTCAAACATGTTGAAGGTAGATCTAATCAAGTAGTTAATTAAGAGATCTCTAAATATATTTTGGTGATAAATTGCTAGGTGATTTGGGGCATGTAGCTCAGAAGAAATTGTAAAAATTGTGTGACAAATTGTAAAAGTATCACAGGAGTGTTCCTGTTTGCTGCAACTACTGGAGTGATGCTTCTCAGCACCCACATTAAGAATAAATGCTGGGCCGGACTGGGCGGCTTAGCCTGTCATCCCAGCACTTTGGGAGGCCAAGGTGAGTGAATTGCCTGAGCCTGTGGGTTCGAGACCAGCCTGGGCAATGTGGCAAGACCTCGTCTCTACAACAAAATAAAAACATTAGCCAGGTGTGGTAGCACGCACCTGTAGTTCCAGCTACTTGAAAGGCTGAGGTGGGAGGATCACCTGAGCCTAGTAGGTCGAGGCTTCGGTGGCCATGAGCATGTCACTGTCCTCCAGCCTGGGAGATGGAGGGAGACACTAACTCAAAAATAAAACAAATACAAAAACAAAAAAACAAATGCTGGAACCCTGTCTCATTCTACAAATAAGTAATAAGTAACAGGCATCCACAGTTATAAGGACTATTTAAAAAGGAAATAACCCCATTCATCTCATTAAGATGTGCGTTTCCAATATAATATTAATTTATTCTTTGTAATTACTTATAAAAACATGTATTATATTTAGGCTTCTGTGATCAACAGGAAATAAATATTAATAAAGCTATATATTTTCTTAGTTGAGAAATATTACCCAGCAGTGACTGCATGGTAAAAAAATAAATTAAGAGGCCAGGCTCGGTGGCTCAGCCTGTAATCCCAGCGCTTTGGGAGGTCGAGGTGAGTGGATTGCCTGAGCCCGCAGGTTCAAGACACCCAGGCAACTTGGCGAAAACTCGTCACTACCATAAAAAAAAAATGAGCCAGGCATAGTGGTGTGTGCTTGTAGTTCCGGTCGAGGCTGCAGTGGCTGCTCCGGCCACTGCACTCCAGCCTGGGCGACGGAGTGAGATTCCAACTCAAAAATAAAAATAAAAAAGGATAAGATTATGTGAGGAAATGTGGAAAGAAAATGTGAGTTCAAGAGAAACAGAAGTATGCAAAATTTTAAATCCTTAAGTAAAAAAATCTATTCCTAATTGGCTTTTACTTTGATAACCATGGAAATGAAGACTTTGGTGTTCACGCTCCATTTCCTACAATTAGAAGAATGATGCAATGGTTTTATTTTAACACACCAACATTTGCTTGAAACTAGAAGCTACATCATTAGAAACTATTTAAATTTAGAAAAGTATGTGTCCACTTAAAACGTACAAAGTAAATATAGCTTTTCGCGATTATTTTAAGTGACATAGGCCTACCTCATATAACAGAGAACTGCCTGATTTTGGAATAAAATGGCGTCAAGACATCAGTGTCAGGGCAAAATAGCTAATGGAATATCAAATAGAACAGATTTTGTATTAAAATCTAAATTAAGTTTCAACAATTTTTATCCCAACATTCAAAGGGATCATCCAGGATCTTCCAAATGTGTCTAGTTCTTTGCACTTCATTTGAGACATCAGTGATCCAAAATAGAGAAGATATTTATGGTGTTTATAGCAGTACAGAGAAAGCTTGAAGATGGTTTTATGTGCTATTTCCCCAGCAAACTTGTGTCACTCACAGAGCCTTCAAAGATGGAAGAAAAAGTTGTGATGGTGCCCGGCAGTGATCAAAAATGGAGCAGGGTCTCTCAAGCCAACTCTGAGAAGCTGAAATCATTCTGGCCCCAAAGCGCCATTCCCTGGATCTAGCTGTTGAAACATCTGGATTACTTTTTAAATTTTCAACCTGAGGAATTTAAAGTCGGTTTAAACTCCCTAGTGATATAAATCTAATCTTTCTTAAAACCTTCTATTAACCAATCCCATTCTTCACTTACATGGCTTGGAGTTTGTGGTTGAAGCAAATCACCATTAGAGATCCCAGACAGACAGACAAATGGCGAAATGGCTTCTTTTCCTTCCTTGCAGCTCATCAGATGAGACACGAGTTGGGAGTCTTCACATTCTGAGCCTGTGAATTCTGACCATAACAGATTGGGCCCGATTAGTGTTTACAAGTCAGCCCAACAGTCACACCTCACACACTTGCTCTAGACCGTTCTACGAGGGGAGCCATTCAACTTTCCAGGGCCTGCATCAAAATGGAGACTGAATAAGCTCTACCACCTAAAGAAGAAGCACAGCTTGGCACAGAATAAACAAATCAAAGTCAGCCATTAGTATCTCTATTAAAAAATATGGATGGCCGGGCTCGGTGGCTCAGCCTGTCATCCCAGCACTTTGGGAGGCCGAGGTGAGTGAACTGCCTGAGCCTGCAGGTTTGAGACCCACCTGGGCAACTTGGCGAGACCTCGTCTCTACAATAAAACAAAAATGAGCTGGGCGTGGTAGTGCACGCTTGTAGTTCCAGCTACTTGGTAGGGCTGAGGTGGAGGAATCGCCAGAGCCCAGCAGGTCAAGGCTGCGGTGGCCAGGAGCGTGCTACTGCACTCCAGTCTGGGTTACAGAGTGAGACTCCAACTCCAAAAAAAAATATGTATTATATTTTAGCTGCTTTAATCAACAGGAAATAAAAGACTAAATTTAAATTGTATACTCTTCTAACAGAGAATTATCGTTATTACCTTTGTACTTTTTCCCACCTAATCTAGACTTGGCCTCACAATCTTTCTTGAAACCATGCAGCCACCATTATTAGTAGGTTTGGAAGCAGCATGTGAGAAGAAACATATTTTCCATTTATATTCTTACAAAGCACTAGGTCATGCATTCAAACTGGGCTCTAATTTGTGACCAGGCATAATATTCACACATGCCCATCTCACCTCACTTGTGGTGGTCATAGCACTCCACCATTATTGTCTGCTTTTGCTCATGCTTTTTCCTACTTTATTCATGCCCCAAAGGGCTACAAGCTTCATCTCCTTGGATTTTTCCAATGCAGGATGTTGGGTATGGTGAAACAGGGAAATTAATACCTATAGCTCAACCCTTTCCATTGCAGTCACCTTTCCCTAGGTATCCTTCCTTAGAAGGTTTTCGTTTATTAGCTCACAAAAAACAAATAAGAAAGAGTAAATACTAACCCTGTGCCAAGCATTATTTCAAGATATTCAAATATATTAACTTAATCGTGTAAAGCTGATCAAAACTAAGTAGATAGTGTTATTCCCTTTCTTGTGTATCTGTAGAGAAAACCAAGTCATGAATATGGAGTCACTCGCCCAAGATCTTGCTGCTAAAGTGTGGCAGAGCCAGAGACTGGGCGGAGATATGTTCAGTCTATGCTCATGACCGCTAAGCACACTTTCTCTCAATAAAAAAGCGATAGAATTAGTCTATAGTTTTTCTTCATCTCTTAGACACTGTTATTGTGATTTCCAGCCCTGACCCAAAAGCAACATTTGAAAAGATGGTTATAAATGACTCTGTTGAGTTTCATTCTTCACTGTCCCTTTAATGCCTGAAAGCATGATTTCTTTCTGTAGAAAGCAGAAGAAACCCCCTCACTCAAAGGCAGAATGACCTTGCTGGGGCTCTACTCTTCTTCTGAGAAAAAACATTCCCTACCTCCCCACTCTATTTGACATTAAAACATATTTTAAAAAGAAAAATATTCTCTCTTCCAGGTACTAACCAGGCCCCGACCCTGCTTCCTTCCAAGATCCGTTGAAATCAAGCATATTCAGGGTGGCATGGACACTGGTGGGGGGTGAGGGGGGGTGTAACATCAATAAGAGTACTAAACTTTACCTGTATGATGACCACTTATGTACCTAACCCTGTATTGTACCCCACATCTTTAAAATTAAAAAAAGACCACGTATGTACCTAACCCTGAAGTGTACCCCACACTTCTAAAATTAAAAAAAAAAAATTCCTTGGGCAAGATTGTTCTTGAAATTGTTCCACAACGGAGGTATAATATACTTACTGATTTTTGACAATGGGAGTTGGTATTCCTGTTTCATATCTGCCAATTTGGAAGTGATTAGTAGGAAGGAGGCAAAGTCCTTTGTGGTTTTCATGTTATGCTCAAATAAAGCATTTTTGAAATCCTTGGGGAGATCATCAAGGAACACCTAGAAGTCAAATATTTTTCAGAGATATCTGTATACCTTCTTTGAAAACTGAACCTTTGGAAGAAGAAAGGCAAAGAACATTGCAATACAAGTCTATGGCTATCTATTAATTCAAAAATACCATTATTTCATTTTTTTCACTGTTGAAATAGAGGTCAAGTTAATTTTTGGTTTTTATTTGGAGTGTAGACTAATACAACCCCTGTGGAAAACAGTTTGGCGACTCCTAAAAGATCTGAAAAGCAACCTTCCATATGACCCTGCAATCCCCCTACTAGGAATCTACCTGGAGGAACTCAAATTACTCTTTGAAAAAGATAACTGGGCTCGGTGGCTCAGCCTGTAATTCGCGCTTTGGGAGGTTGAGGTGAGTGGATTGCCTGAGCCCGCGGGTTCGAGATCTGCCTGGGCAACTTGGCGAGACCTCATCTCTACAATAAATAAATAAATAAATAAATAAATAAATAAATAAATAAATAAATAAATAAAAATCAGCTGGGCATGGTAGCACATGCCTGTAATTCCGGCTACTCGGAAGGCTGAGGCAGAAGGATTGCTGGAGCCCAGTGTGTCGAGGCCACAGTGGCCGGGAGCAGCCACTGCACTCCAGTCTGGGCGACAGAGTGAGACTCCAACTCAAAAAAAAAAAAAAAAAAAGAAAAAGAAAAGAAAAAGATACCTGCATATGCATGCTTATTGCAGACTTGTTCACAATGGCAAAAACATGGAACCAACCGTGCTGGCCATCAAAAGAGGACTGGTAAAAAAAAAATGTGGTACTTATACACGATGGAATATTACACAGCCATAAAGAAGGACGAAATTATAAACTTCACAGCAAGCTGGATGAACTTAGAAACTATAATACTGAGTGATCTATTGCAGAACTGAGTATCCCATGTTCTCATGCATAAGTGGACCTTGAACAATTATCGTAGTACTACAAGAATGGGATTGGCAATAGTGGGAAACTGCCCAGTGTCGGGGGCGGGGAGTAGAATTGGCAATGGTGGGAAACTGCCAGGGGAGGGAAGGGGGCATACCTCATCAACAAAGGTACCTGTATAATGAACATTTGTATAAGTAACTCTGAATTATACCCTTCATCTTTAAAATAAAAAATTTTATAATTTCCATCTTATTTCTTTTTTATCCCACATGTATTTAGAAATTAATTTGTTTTTTTTGGTATTGGAGTTTCACTCTGTCGCCCAGACTGGAGTGCAGTGGCACGCTCCTGGCCACGCAGCCTCGTCCTGCTGGGTTCAGAGATCCTTCCTCCTCAGCCGTCCAGGTAACCAGAACTACAGGCACCCGCTACCACGCCCAGCTAATTTTGGATGTATTGTAGAGACGAGGTCTTGCCAAGTTGCCCATGTGGGTCTCGAACCCGCTGGCTTAGGCAATCCACTTGCCTTGGCCTCCCAAAGTGCTGAGATTACAGGCTGAGCCACTGAGCCTGGCCTAGAAATTAATTTTTTTAATTTTCAGAAAATTGAGGTACTTCTGGCTTTTCTGGTTAGTGTTTACCCAGTACATATTTTTCGTCATCCTGTTTTAACCTTCTTGAGATTTTAAGCTCAGATGCAATTTGTGTAAATAGCATATACAGTCATATGTCATTTCATGACAAGGACACATTCTGAAAGATGTGATGCTCTATTTAGGCACTACTGTTATTGTGTGAACATCACATAGTGTAGACGATATATAGCCTATTACATACCTAGGCTGTATGTTGTAGCTTACTGGTCCTAAGCCACAAGCTTGTACGGCATGCTACTTAGCTGAATACTATAGGCAGCAGTAACTCAATGGCAAGTATTTGTGTATCTAAATATATCTAGACATAGAAAGGGTATAGTAAGAACACACTATTATAATCTTATGTGACCACCATTATATACGCAGTCTGTAATTGATGGAAATACTATCATGAATGCATGACTGTAGTTATATATATTTTAAGGTACAATCTGAAAAATATTAGTATTTATTAAGTTTACTAATACAATTTACTTGGTGTTTTTAGTAAAATTACATTGAATGTAACTGCATAGTTGAGTTTTCTGTCTTACTATTTGTTTTCTGTTTGGACCATCTATCATAAAGATGTTTAATATTTGGACTATCTATTATAGAGTCTTTTTCACTCAGTTTTTCCTTCTATTAACATTTATTTGTGCATTATTTCACTAGTCTTTTAGTTGTGACCTCAGCGGTTACACAATAAATCTTTGATCAGGTACAGTGGTTCATGCCTATAATTCCAGTGCTTTGGGACACTAAAGCGGGAGGATCACTTGAGACCAGGAGTTCAAGATCAACCTGCTTCTACAACAAATTAGAAAATCAGCTGGGTGTGGTAGCATGAGCCTTTAGTTCTAGTTTCTCGGGAAACTGAGGCAGGAGGATTACTTGAGCCCAGGACTTCAAGGCTGCAGTAAGCTATTAATAGAATTGCTAATACTGTCAAAACTTGAAAACATTCAAGTCTATTTAACCTTCTCAGCTCTTGCATAACAATTGTCATGAATTTTAGTTCTACGTATATTTCAAATTTTATAATACACTGCAATTCTTTTTATTTCCATCATCCCCAAATTTTTATTTTACACATCTTTTTTGCTTTCCTTTTAAAAAATTTTAGATTCGGGGGCTACACATGCATGTCCGTTCCATGGACATATTGTGTAGTGGTGGGGATTGGGTCTCAGGTGGCCCATTCCCTAGAGAGCGAACTTTGTACCATAGGTAACACTCACTAGAGAGATGCTCTGCCTATGCTAAATCCAATTTTCAACCAATGTCCAGAGTTGACAAATTCTCTGAGACAAGAACTATAGATGTGATACCATCTAACCCTGGTAAGGATGGCTATCATTACTAGGTCAAAAAACAGCAGACCCTGGTGCGGGTGCAGAGAAAAGGGAACCCTTCCACCCTGTTGGTGGGAGTGTAGGCTAGTTCAAGTTCTATGGAAAGCAGTGTGGCGATTCCTCAAAGGACTAAAAATGGACCTTCCATGTGATCCCGCAATCCCTTTCCTGGGACTATATCTGGAGGAACATAAATCGTGATACGAAAAAAGCTGCCTGCATACCGCATGTTTACCGCCACACTAGTCAAAATAGCAAAAACATGGAGCCAACCGTACTGCCCATCAAGACTGAATAAAGAAAATGTGATACATCTGGATGGTGGAGTATTACGTAAACATAAAGAAGCACAAAACCATGGACTCTGCAGCAAACTGGATGGAGTTGGAGACCATCATACTCAGTCATCTATCACAGAAACAAAGAACTGAATACTGCATGTTCTCACTTGTCAGTGAGCCCTGAACGTTAGTCACATCAGCAAAAGGGAGGGATCAGTAGTGACTGGACACTGCTAGGGGAGGGGAAGAAGCAAAGGGTAGGGAAGCATGAGAAAACACAGGGTAGCTGGTCCACTACCAGGGAGAATGAAGGTCAGTTAAAAGTCCAGACTTCACCGGCATGCAGCCTACTTAGTTAATCCTCACTTGTACCCTACATCGCTACAATGAAATGAAACAAAACAAATAAAAAATGATTTTTCTTTTGATAGATTTATAGAGGGAGACTTATGAATTATAGATTAAATGTCACGTTGGTTACAGAGAGAACAAATTATTCTACAAAACAGACGAACTCTCCTGTATTAATAAAACCCGACTGCTGCTGAATGATTTCTGGTGGGATCTATCTGCTTATTAAATGTTATCAGCATCACACATGTTACCTTTGACTGATAAAACTTGAATTTAGCATCTTGGAACTTTGGTAGAAGATGTCTTCTTCCGAAGAGATGTGCCAATACTAACACCAACTTTTCCATAACATCTTGAGAAAAATGTTTAGAGCCTATACAAAACAAGATATCTTCCTGTAAATGTGAAAAATGCAATTCTGTTTTTTAATATTAGATGAAATGCTGCACTGCATTTCATTCCACAGAAACTACAAAATTTTGTGAAAAATATAGCACCTGAGGAATCACCAACCCTGCTGGCAGTTTTCTTCGGTGCCTCTTTTTCATCCTTGTTACCTACGCTCTAGTTCAGATTCCAGTCATCCCAACCAAACATTGCCTTATCTCCTTATCTAGGTTTCTCTCATGTTTGTCTGTCTCCGGGGATGATCAGCTTACCCCAAGAACTGAATCACCATGTCTCCCACCTCCTCAAAAATTTCTGACGGCGTTTCAACACCTTTGGAACAAAATCTAACTTTCTTAGTTAGCATTTAAGGCTTTCCAAAATTCAGCCTACCAATAACCTCCCAGTCTTATCTGCCTGTCTTCCTTTCCTGACATTCCTACTCAAGTATCATCTGTTTGAGTTAATCTATACCTCACAACACATGAGCATTATGTTGTAGTGGCTAAAAAAAAAAATGCTATGTTTAATAACGGTCTTCAGAGTCAGACTACTTATATTTGAATATTGCTTCCGACTTATTTTAAGCATGAGACCATGGCCATTGATTTAATGTTTCGCTCTGTCATTTCCCCATTTACAAAATGATGCTGGTCGTATTATCTCCTTCATAAAGTTACTCAATATTCTGTATCCTCTTTATAACCACATACGCCCACCCACCCCCATATCAATAAACAAATGTACACTCCCTGCTGCCTGAAATTACTTCTCCTCTTACAGAACATTGGGGTGGGCAGAGTTTTCTGGTAATCAAATTTCACAGGACAGCGCCTATTCAGAGCACAGACTATTATGCAAAGCAGAGTGTGCCTATCAAATAATGATAGAAAATAAGATAAAGTAAGGCTGTGAAAGGTAGTGCATTTAACAGGCACTAGGAAACAAAACAACTTTAAGCACAAATATTATAAGATGGAAACACTACTTTAGGGGCACTACATAAGAGATGCACTGTTTAAATGTAAAAATCAGAGGATTTTAACAAAAATTGTGCTAAATGAAATTTATTTTAAAATTTATGTGATGTGGACAAAAATATGTTTAGGGAAAAACCCTTTTAAATTATGCAATAAATATAATATTAGCTATTACGGTATACTACACTATAATATTCAAAGCAAATAGGATTAGATGAGAATATTCATAAATATTAACAATAATTAACTGCGGATATTATAATTATGAGTAATTTCAAATTTCAACTTAATGTTTTTCTATGTCTTTTTTCCAGGATGCATGCACATTTAGTTAGAAGAAAATATTTTCTAATGATTGTATATTATTTAATATGTTCTTAATCCCAGAGGCAAGAAATCAGTAAAGTTAATACTCTGGAGAAGCTGACATTTTAAAATAGATGCCACAAAATATGGCTGTCTCTCATATAATCTATATTAGTAGGTATTTAATTTTATTTAGAGATCTGTAAATTATCTACATATTAACTGTATTTATTTATTTCATAGGAAAAATATTCCTGAAGTGCTAGCTTTCTACAAATATGTTGCTATTTTTTGAATACACACACACACACACACACACACACACACACACACACACACGTATGTGTAGTCCAAGTATATATGGAAAAAAAAATAAAACCTCAAGCTTACCTTCCCTAGTTGGCTGACAGAGATCATGGAAAAGGCCTCTTACAAGAAAACTGACAAAAACAAAATTAGAAGGTTCGTGATAATGCAAATGGGATACAAGTCCAGCAAACCCCATTGGATTACCTTCTTGATCTAAATAGCCCTAAAGAACAAAAAACAATTTATTAGCTCATCTCAACTTACCACATAATTAATAGGCAACTTATTACCAGTTTAAAATAGTATTTTATGACAATATAAGTAAGATTCATAACTATTATCTGCCCCAATTTGATAATTATATTATTTATAAGTAATATTAATCATTGGATAAAACCTACTAGAGACTATCGTTAGTTCAGCATGGTAAGAAATCTAGACAGTAGCAATCTTCTTTCACAAAAAAGCAAAGTACAATAATCTATACCTCCTTCACGAGCAGCTGCAGAGAAAACAAGAAGTAAAGTTTTAACATCTCCATTACTGTGGGTTGTTTGAAGGACAGCAATGAATGCTTTAGCACTGATAGCACCTAAAAATAAAAAGTACTTTTAATCACACAGAGTAAGGGTGAATAATTTACAAATACAATAGATATGATGCACATCTAGTATACCACAAAGATACCAGCAATATGTAAGATCCAACCTGATTTCATATTATTTGTTTTACAGGGCTTTTACACAGCACATCCTTCTTAAAATAGAGCATAGAAACAGAACAGTCAGAAATGAAACATATCACCAAACAGTCTGATAATAAATGCCATTCCAGTTTAAGAGCCTATAGCTCTTGAATTGTTCCGGAAGGACAGAAAGAGATATTATCCCACGTCCTGCAGCATTGCTGCAAAAACAATGGAACTCGGTTGATTTAAACCAAAGTAATACAAATATTGCTTGGTTTCGAGTGTAAAACAGCACTGAAATTAACATGTCTTTCAACTTCTCAGTAAAATGTCTATAAAATTCCCGTTAAAAAATCGGCGCCATCACCAAGATTTAGGCTTAGCTGTCTTTAGGCCTGAGAGTTTCTAGAACCTAGAAAGAATCTCTGTTTACAGTGAGGCCAAGGGACTAGGTAAAAGGAAGGAAGAAAAGGGGACAGGGAGGGGGACGGGGTGGACTGGTGGAGGGAGGGAGGCAGGGAAGCCGGGATGGGGGAGAGGGAAGGAAGGGAAAAGGGGTGTCCTCTCCATCGCCTTACACTGGGGCGATACATGTTTGAGGGTACCGAAAATGGTCTTATTTACAATCTCTTCCCCCTCTCATGCTGCATTTATTCAGAATTGGTGGCCACCATCAGAAAACAGCAGGTAGCAGGGGCGAGGAACTCATGGTGGTTCACTCTAACCACAGAGGTGTAGAACCCATAATTAAAGTCTTGCTAAGATAGTAAGAATCCTTATAACATTGCGTGCTCTTGACATACAATGACATTCATAGGATCAGTGTGTCAGGAAGCCTGGCAGAGTAGGGGAAATGACTTTTCAGATCAGAAAACTATACAGAGATAAAGATCGGCTAAATATTAATATTTGGATGAAAACTATTCATCCAGCCTCAGATTTGAAAGGGTATTTGAACAGCACGTCAGTGGACAGAGCGAAGCCAGAGGAAATTTCATAGACTTGATTGCTTGGCAAATCACCAGATTTGGATAGATGTATCGCCATTCAAAAGTGAGGAAGCACAAAAACCCACAACAGATTTATTCTTTTTAAGAAAATTGGTCATCTTCCTAAAATTATTCAGTCATGCTGTCATTACTTGTTGAATGTGTATACCAGCAAATAAGACAAATAAACATGATGGGCCTTAGGCTGCTTACATTCTAGTGGGGGAATATAGAGAACATAAATAAAAACATGATAGAGCTAGGAAGACAGAGAGACAGATGATAAATCATAGATAGATATAGTTAGCTAGATGGATGGTAGATAGAGAGGTCTGATGCTGCGCAAGGAAGGACTAGTACTATGTACAACCGGATAAGGAACATTACGACGCTGCAGGCAAGGGAAACATTCACAGTTCAGTAAAAGCACACACAGTGGATGAGGAAAACCCACGAATAGTTGGTGCTCATCAGAACTGGGGGTTTTCAACAGTGGGGGTAAGGCTTCTTTGGATTCCACCTCAGAAGATGGAAAGTAGAGAAAAAGGGAGCAAGCGGCTGGGTCTCCAGCCTCAAACCCAGCCTCCGCCAGAAAAAGTCTGCTTTGGTCTCCTTTGTTTACCTAAAATTTCACATAATACTTTTTTTGGATCAAAGAATCTAGGGGAAAAAACTTCCACATAGACTATACTTTAAATACTTTTACCACACAGTTACTAAGTGATCAAAATGCTCTCTTTTTTGAAGAGGACACTGGTTTTTATGAGAGAGAGAGAGAGAGAGAGAGAGAGAGAGAGAGAGAGAGAGAGAGAGAGAGAGCTGTCCTACAAAAATTGTTTCCTGTATGAAGCAAAAAAAAAAAAAATTGTTTTGAAAAATGGTCTGTTATCCTTAATGGGTGCCAAATGATACAGCTTCTGTGAGACAAGGCGCAACAGCCTATGGTACGTAGACAACAGGTATTGACATTACAAAAAAAAAAATCATTATGATATGAAAGAGTGATGAAGTAGCAAAGCGTTTCGGGAGAACTAAAAGCCCAGCAAGAGCAAAACTGACACACTGAAGAGCTGCATCGGTGATGTGAAGACAAGCATCATATCTTTTCACAATGAAGAAAAAGACAGCAATGGAGAACAAAGAAGGGGGTTTCAACCTAAAAATTATAACTTTTCCTGAAAAAGCAACTGAACAATTACAGCAGAAGCACATACAGCAGATACACTTTGAGAAAATCTTTTCTTAGTTTGAAAAATATCTGAGCATTGCACAACAGTATGAATGCACTTAATGTTACTAAACGATCTTTAAAATGGTTAAAATCGTAAATTTTATGTGGTGTGTATTTCACCACAATAAAAAAACTGGAGCATGAAGATTGAAAGGTCTCATATAATAACTTAAACATCAATCTTTAAAAGGGCCCACAAAATAGAAAATCCTGGGAAAAACCATTTGAAATAGAATAAGAAAAAGAATCATATAATTTCAAAGACAGAGAAAAAAAAATCAAATAAACTGCAGGAGAACAGAAACTAACATGGCTCCTCTAACGAGACTCCAAAGGTGTCTGCTCTTGTGTGACACTAAGTGCCAGAAGGTAACGAAGCAACCTTGATGTGATGATTGAAGAACTTACGGCAAGAATGTCATGCCCACATTCGAGTCTTACATGTGAGAAGGTCTTCTCAATTATACCAGGGCGAAAAAAAAAAAAAAAGAATGAACCAACCAGATAACAGTTTTAAAAAAATAGTAAGCCTTGTTAGAAAATGCACTCTTCTCTCCAGAGAGGTGAAAATTAAAAACTCAAGACCGGGGAAGTTTTGGTCTAAAATTATGTATGTCTGCTCTATAAGACCAGTCAACTTATCATGGGAACAGGAAGAATCCTTACCTCAGGAAATAGTATCTGATTTACAGGAGCATCCTGAGCAATATGCAAAAACAGGGAAGAGCAGGTGCTTTTGACAGTGTATCTTCATAAAAATGAAAATCGAATTATTTAATCATGAATCTTAAATCTCTTATTTTGGGATTGGACACAAAATATCTCAGCAACATACATCAGGAAAAGTTTACAATCATATTTTGAAGTCCAATTACACATAACTATATCAGGGTTTAAAAGCCAAATGCACACTCATGCCTAGAAAAATGTTTGAAAAAAACACCAAAACACCAAACAAACAAACAAACACCACCAAAATGTGATTCTTTTTAGGTAGTGGGATCAAGCATGAGTCCTTTTTTTCACTCAACATTCTGCATTTCCCTAAATTCTTTAATGAATTTTTTTCTCAGTGAAACATACACTTTTTTAAAACTACAAAATCATAAAAACAAACATTTAGTTTCTAAATGGTAGAAACAGGGATCTAACCCAGATCTTTATAAATTCATAGCCAGAACCCTCAACTACTATAGGACAAGGCTTATCACACTGAGAACAGTAACCCTGGGTGACTTCCAGTGCCCATTCAGCCAAGTTCCATGTTCAATAGTGGAAGCAAACAAAAACAGTTATTCTTCTTCCTTAGTGACCCCCAGGCTACAGACTTCTAAAAAGAACGGCGGGCCTGACTCCCAGCAGCCCAGTGATGGAGACTGAGTCTCAGACCGCGTCTGGCACGGTACCTTGGCCTCGCTGTCCTCTGGGTCGTCTCCCTTAGAAGCCAGCAGCATGAGTCGCAGAATCAGGGTAATGCTGAGGGGGAACTGTCCTCTCAGCTCAGGAACGTTGGATTTTATGAGTTTTTCTACTTTGGGCAATGGGATATCAAAGAAATACACATCTCCCATCAGGTCTTGACCTCGTCTTCCAGCGCGACCAGACATCTGGAAACGGTAGAGTCACAATGTGAAACTTCCCTAACTACTTTTACTAGCACAATGTGAGAATTGAGCCTTTTGCGTGGGTTTGAAGCAAGACGTTGTGCATATGTCCCACGATTAACTAACTGAAATCAATATCCCACTACACAGTGCTTAGGAAATTTACCACAGTTGAGACAGAACTGAAAAATGAGTTATTTGTCATGTCTATGTACTTATTTCATTCTTATGTACTTAGTTGTACTAGGCATTTGTATAATGTTATACAGAAGAAACAAAGAACAACTACCGCAAGAGACTGATTTCACTGTCACTTGCAACTAAAGTCTGATTTACTACTTTTCTCTCCTTCTCTATCTCCTGTCTTTCATCCCTTTCCTTCCTGCCGTCTCTCACACACACATGTGTTGAGTTGCAAATCACAAAAAAAAGTTGTGCACAAATAGAGGAAATACACGACTGAGATAAAATTCAGAAGTTGCTTGTAAAAAAAAAAAAAAGAAAGTCAAAAATAAACTCTTTACAGAGGCTGTAGTAATTCTCACTTTTAAGTGCTTAGATTGTGCTAAGGCATTGGGGATGTAAGAACCGTGTCCATAGATGAAACAACCAGAAAGTGGAAGATTCAGGATTCAAACCCTGGCATTTAGATTCTCAAGTCCACCATCCCAAATATCAAAAGACTCCAGCTCCAGAACCCCAAATAAAAGATCCCCAAAGATGAGACAGGAGGAGAGAGTTCATACAGGGTGTAGCAGCAGGGGTGGAAATGAAACAGGAGCTGGTGACGTGGTGGGATGTTATACTGGCCTGTGAGGAGGATAAAGAGTGTTTAGAGAGAAAGGGAGAGAAAGCTAAAAACTTGACTGTTGGGTGACATATCTAAATTTGATGCTGCCGAAGAAATAATCATCAAATATTTCTGAGGAGGCAAGCAATATAAAGACAACCTATGCTGTGTGCAGGACACAGAATAAGGAGAGCCAACAACCTAGCACACTGCTAAAAGAATGTACAGTGGAAGATGGCGGGTACAAAAATCGCAAGGCAAAAATTCAAATGCCACGACAGGAAAGTCACAAAGTGAGCTTGGCAAGGGATTGTGTGTCAGGAGCAAAGAAGAGGGATGCACTAAAGATAACTCCGGACTGCAAAATCTTGTGCACAGCAAATGTGTCCTGAGCACCTTTGATGTATATCTTTCTTGCAAATGTTGTGGAATATCGATTGCCACCCATTTTCTGGAGGCAGGAAAGGAGAATCAGGCAGGTTAGATGTCTCATCCAAGGTCACACGTCTGGTGAGTGGGAGTCACAAAATCCCAAACTCATGTGCTTTCCACTATACTATGGCTAAAAGTGATAGTCAGACATGGACGAATGCCATGCCGTGTTACCATCAATTGCAGTATGTTTGCAAACGAAAGGTTAACTTTCTTCTTACTATGTTATGGTCATATTTTAACAATACAGTATGCAAGTTTGTACATATTGCAATACCTGTCTGTAATTTAAAGCATCCAGATAGACTGAATTCTGAGCAAAAACCACAGATTTACAAGGCATATTGATTCCTAAAGCAAGTGTTCCAGTAGCTGTCACCACCTAGAAAGAGAATAAAGCAATTACTTTATAAAATAGCATTTTGATGGGATGTAAGTATTCCCTGCCATATAGTTGCTGAAAGATGCCTTGGACTTCAATTATACCCCAGTGGGAAAGCTAAAGAAATGAGGCATATTGGTATTCCTGCTAATTCACAAACACACAGTTTGCACAGACTATTCTTCCCTCTTTGTCTGCTCAAATGTCCCGGAGGGATTTTTTAGAAACCACATCTGAAACCAGCATCCCTGCTATCATTATCTTTCTCCGTTCTACATTATTTTTTTTCATGGCATTATTGACTACCACAACAAAACTACATGTATGTGCTCAATTGTCCCATACTAGACTCCAAGCGCCATTGGCCATTGTATCCTCAGCACCAAGGACAGTAACTGCCACCTGATAGGTATTCAGCAACTCTTCTAAAATACATTATCGGACACAAAATTTGTTTATGATCAAGTGATATCATTTTTTACAGACCCACTTCTGGGCAATTATCCATTTCATCTGCTAAAATTTGTAGAGATTATACCAGTGGAAATAACATATCATAGCAAGAAAATAAAAATAAAGTGCTGTTTTTCAGATGGAAATAGTAGACACTGGGCGCTCCAAAAGGGGTGAAGGTTGAAAGGTTAGCTACTGGATACAACGTTCAACATTTGAATGACAGGCTCACAAGGTGCCTAATTCCCACAATCGTGCAGCATACCCCTGTAACAAGCAGGCACATGCACCTGCTGAATCTGAACTGAATAAATGATGAAAATACTATGGAACATTTAAACAGTTCACGTTTCCTTCCCTAAATTGTACTGATAACCAGCCAGGAAAGGAGAAGGACAAGCACTAAAGTTTGCTCAGATGATTCAGCCTTTTGCTCATCTTTCACGTAATGCTGGGTATTTATAAGCATCCTCTCTTTCTTTTTATGCTGGTTATTATATATGCCATTGTGAGTGTCTGTCTTTTAAGTATATGGAGTGATGTTCTCATACTATTCTGTAAGTGAAATCTACATATCTGTAAAAATGCAGCACACCGTTTACTAGCGTTTGGAATCTAAAGTTTAAAAACAAGAGCACAAATGGAGAAAACAAGAACATGAAATTCAGAAAACAACTAGGATGAACACCTTTTTAAAAATGTGTTCTCGGGTACCTGCACAATGAATTTTCCACGCCTAACCCTGAAATGTAGCCCACAATTTTAAAATTCAAAATTTCAAAAAGGGCTCTCTATAAAATGCTATCACTATGTCCATAGCACCTCTTCCAAGGTGATCTAGCTATTCATTCAGTTACTAATAGTAACTGAGCAACTGCTATTTAACAGACACTTCTTTAGACACAGGTGCTGATCAAAAGGGGTGTGTGCCTTTCTTCTTTCAATTCATGATCATGCAGAAAACGTTCCCTTTGGTTATCAACCTTTAAAATAAATAAATCAGTTGCTATGAGTTTAGAGAAAAGCTAAGCAAAGTTGTTCGTGATCCATCGTGCTTTTTCCAGATAATAGAATTATGATTTAACTGCAGTATTAGATTTTTCTCAATATTTAGCTTAAGATTAAAAAAAAATCCTGCCTAGTCTCTCAGCCTCTCTCTCTCATTTAATGCATGTCATACAAAATTGAATATGAATAATTTTTAAAAATCAGAATCCATTTTTAAATATTACTCAAGATCCAAATTTACTTGGAAATTATATAAACCCTCCCTATGACTTTATCTGGACTAGTCCCATGCACCTCATAGGACACACTAAACAAAACATAACAAGGGTTTGGCTTGAAAGTTAGTTAAGTTAATCTCCCTCCTGTCTGCTATCAGTGACAGGAAAGAGAACATTTAGGAGTGAACCATCTACTGAGGCAGGGAGTAGACCCTAAAGATGCAATATATCCTTGCTCTCATTTCAGCTATTATATTATGTCAAGAAAAGATCTAACTAAAACTCTATCATAAGTGTCCTTGAAGCCCATGAAATTATGTCTGTACCCGAAATTACTTCAACAGTTCACAAAATTCCCTAAATATTATAAATAAAAAAGCAAAGAGTTGTGCCCAAATCAGCATCGATACATTTCATGGTGAAGTATTTTAAAAAGTATCTGTTTAGGAAATATTTTTATTCTCATGAAAAAGAGATAAAGTGAATGGTACACTTCAAACTTCCATCCCCAATTAAATGAGATGAGGTTATGCAGTCATATCATTTTTTTAAAAAGAAAAATACAGAGTTATGTGAGGAAAAAAGATGATTGTATTCTTTACTTTTCACGAATATTCAGCTTGAGACAGTCACAGATTCTATTTTTAGAATGAAAAGGTTTACCTACCCGAATAAACCCTTTCCTGAAGAGAATTTCAACTAGTTGTTTTGCTTTGGCGCTCATGGCACTGTGATGGTATCCGATACCCCTTAGGGCCAGGGCTTTCAGTTCCGCACCTTTCCTTTCAAATCTGACTCGGTCAAACACTAACCGCAAAGTCTGAAAGAAGCAGCAATTTAGGATTTGTGGGCTTTTCTTATATAATTTTAATTTAAACCATAATAAAAATGCTGAAATGAACATAACCCGCATACCACATAATAATTTGACCCAATGTTTGAAACTGACTCTGTATGAGTTCAAAGGACATTTTTACGGCAGCCACAGCAACTACGAGGAAAATCTTCCCAATTCTTCGAAAAGACAGTCTCCAGCAGTCTTACCTCACTTACGGGGTGAAAGTCCTGACAAAGTGGCAGATAAGATATCCAGGGGAAGTGTGAGTGCAGGGGGGAGGTCAGTGAGCTTCTGGGGTCTTGGGAGCTCTCCCCAGACAGAGACACACTTCTCCAAGAAGGTCGAGCAGGTCCCTTACCCTGGCCAGGGTGTGCGTGCTTCCTGCTGCAAATGGCGCACACATGGCCTTAAAAATGTTGATGTCTTAAAGAGGAAATTCAGTTGGATCCAGATTATATGTGCAAAGACAAATGCTGTGTATGGTGAGCGGGGAGAGGCAATATATCCCAGATCAAAAGGCTGGTTAGCGGTCGCTTCAATTGCATAGTCATTCGCCCAGTGGAATATCAAAGACCATGCGATGATGATATAAATACACAGTTATGGTAGATGAAGAGACCATGAGGTTTGCAAAGGAAGGTATACAATAGAATGAATATACACATACACAGTGTGCAGTTCCAGGTAAACAAGACGAAAGCTACATCTGTTATATCAGGGTGGTGATTATTTCTGAGTGATAGCACTGTTGCTATTATTACTAATTTGTATTTTCAACTTTGTCCACCATAAGCATGATAATTTGCGTTGAAAAAAGATCTCAAGGAAGAACTAGCATACCACTTTTAGAGATTCCAAGGCCTCTTTGGTGGAATGAGTTAGCTGTAATATAGAAAGCCTCTTATTTTGGGAAATTCTGTGAACAGTATTTAAACTACAAATGGCTACAGACCAAATTTTCATGATATGTGAAGAGTAAAACGTTTCTAGAGGAAGTCAAAGCAAACATTTAGTATGTTTATATTGCATGCATTTTCTTGCGTCGGAGCCAGGGAGTTATACGGGAGCACTGAAAAATTCATGGAAGTTTTCTTTTCCCCTCCTGGCAAAAATGCTGTGGCCGAAAGTAGGCAATAGTTATCATCACTATGCTATTTTCTTTCTTTTTTTTTGAGTTGGAGCCTCACTCGGTCGCCCAGACTGGAGTGCAGTGGCCGCTCC